TTACGTGTGGTTGCACACTTTGCTTAGAAGGAATGATCACATCTGTGGTTCTTCACTGATTCATAGTCTGTAGGTAGGATTGGCTGGATGGCCAGGGATCTGGAAATAGCATGACTGAAAAGCTGGCAAGAGAGACATTGGAGGAAGAAACACGTGGACAGATCTCTTAGGATAAGCAAAGGATGTGAAGATACCTACTTAAATATCTTGTGTAAATGATTTTCAAGAGGTGACTCCAACAATCTAGTAGGCAGGATGACCTACTCTCTGGACTATCAGCCTCTTTCCCCAGCCTTCCCTGTCATTGCCCAGTGGGGCACAAAGTGGCCACGGTAACAGCGAAGGTCACCAACGGGCTTGACAACATGGACTTCCACTCACCAAGGCTGATTTGGCTACAGCTGTTGCTGAGTGCCAGATCTGCAACGGTATGGCACTATTCTGCAATGCAACCGCTTAGTGACCTGGTGGCAGGTTTACTACATTGGACAACTTCCTCCACGAAAAGGACAATGCTTTGTCCTTACCGGAGCAGATATTCATTCTGGTTATGGGTCTGCCGTTCTGCATGTAATGATTCTGCCAAAACCACCATCCATGGACTTACAAAATGTCTTACCCACCATCTCGGTATTTCACAAAGCACTGCTTCTTATCAAGGAACTCACTTCACAGCCAAGGAAGTTTAACCATGGTCTTGGAGAATAACAGAATGGCCTCTTGAAGACACAATTACAATACTAAGGGGGCCAGCAGCCTGGAGGGTTAGGGCTGGGTTCTCCAGAAGGCAGCGTATGCTTTCAATCAACACCCAATATATAGTATGGTTTCTCTCATAGCCAGGATCCACATGTCCAGGAATCAGGGGATGGAAAAGGGATTGGTTTCACTCACTATCATCCCTAGTGACCCACTAGGAAAATTCTTGCTTTCTGTTGAGACCTTAAGTCCTGCTGGCCTAGCAGATTTGGTTCCAGAGGTGGGAACATTCCTGTCAGGAGACACAAGAAAAATTCCACTGAACTGGAAGTACAGACTTCCTTCTGCTCACTTTGGGGTCCTAATGCCCTTTAACCAACAGGCTAAGAAAGGAGTAACACCATTAGGAGGGGTTATTGATCCATATTACCAAGGAGAAATTGGATTGTGTCTCCACAGTGGAGGTAAGAAGGATTATGTCTGGAGTGCAGGAGAGCCTTTAGGGCATCTCTTGGTGCTGTCTAGTCCTGTGATTAATGTCACAGGGAAACTACAACAGTCTAATCCAGGCAGGATGACAAAAGGCAGAGACCCTTCAGGAATGGACATGGACCACTCCTGTAGGAAAAAGAGCTGAGACCTGCTGAGGGGCTTGCTGAGGGTGGAGGAAATTCAGAATGGGTAGTAGAGGAGGGTAGTCATAAATACCAGCTGAGGTCATGTGACCAGTGCAGAAACGAGGATTATAATTGACAAGAGTGCTTCTGTCATATTTGTGAATATTGTATTTGTGTGGATATTTGTGTTCTCTTTCCTTAATTTCCTTATCATGTAATGTAACATCAATGGACATAATATCAGTGGCTATTATACTAAGGTTTGAGATACTAAGAAATGTCCCTCAAAGGACACTGCCACCTATTCTAAAATATACAGTGCATTCGTGGTTGTATGTGGATAGCTATATTGTGGTAGGCATAATTATGACCTGGCTATTTTCATTTGGAAATTAAGCATGGCAGAAGGAGATGTGATTGTGTGTCAAGCTGACAAGGGGTGAACTTGTGATAGCTATTTTTTGGTTATCAACTTTACTACACCTGGAATTAACTACAACCCAAGTCACCTGACACACCTGTGAAGGATTTTGGTTAACTGCATCATTTAGTTAACTGTGCTTTGCCTGTGTGCTCTGGCTCTCACTTCAATGGCAGCAGAGCCTAATTCTTTGGGATTCTGACATATATTGAAGACCAGTTGAGACATACAGCTTGTGGTCTGAACAACGACTGGGAACTTTCCACTGGGAGACAGCCATTGATGAACTAGCCAGACCACAGCCAGTAAGTCACTCTAATAAACCCAATACATATACATTCCATCTGTTATGATAAAAGCTTGAGGGGAACATTGGCAGATTCCATGGTGGGTGAGGTTGACTGAGATGGAGGGACAAACATGCCAGGCAGACAGAGCTTAGTGAGAAGTTTTATTAGGAAGGGGAGAGAAGGGGGAAGGGAAGAGAAAAGAGGTAAAGAAACACGGAGACCAGAGAGGATAGAAAAGTCCTGTCTGCCCCAGGGGAACAGCAGGAAAGAGAGTGGGCAGGGGTTTCTTTTAAAGGGGTCCTTTGCAACTGCATGAAGACCAGGGTATTGCCTGAGTGCATTCTGCCAGGTACACAGGAGCAGGCCAGCATAATGCCTGAATCCTTACACTATCAGCTCTGTTCCTCTAGAAAATCCCACTAACACAGTAACCAACAGCTGTCTAACTGGATGAAAGGCCTAATTCACAGGAAGGAAATCATGCCTGTTACTGGAGACATAGCCAACTACATGTGTCTAGGGAAGCAATGGATAAAGGAGGAGAACCTACAACTGCCACTTTAGTAAACCACCATAATACCTGATACTTGTCCTTATACCTACACAGAAGTGTATATTTTACCCCTCATTAAAGATTTGTTTCGCAGCAGTAGGAGACCATTACAGAAAGCCACAAGTGGTTAAAACTCAGAGGACACTGGTCATGGGTGCCCAGGCCCAGCTGATACAACTACAACACAATTCTTGTACTTACTACTCAGGAAACATGATAGAAGAGGAGGTGGAAAGACTACAGAGGCAGAGGACCAGAAAGTAGGCCATGAGATTGTGCCTTCTAAATCTCAACAACATGGCTTCCTAAACAAGACTGGAACAATTCCAACAACATCTGACATTCTAAGGTTATGGGTAAAATCTCACCCTCCACACCTAGAGGAAGATCTATGGGCAATTAACAACTGCACTCCATACAGAAGCAAGAGGAAGACTGGTCTTCTCTAGGGATGAGCCCCAACTGGCTCATCCCTAGAAACTTAAACATGAAAGCATTGTATTTGTTTCTATGTATGTGTAATAACAATGGTTTAAGAGAGAAAGCCAGCTGGGCAGTGGTGGCACACGCCTTTAATCCCAGCACTCAGGAGGCAGAGGCAGGCGGATCTTTGTTAATTCAAGACTAGTCTGGTCTACAAGAGCTAGTTCCAGGAAAGGCTCCAAAGCCACAGAGAAACCCTGTCTTGAAAAACCGAGAGAGACAGAACAGAGAGAAGGCCCTAGCTTTGAGGGTGGAGAGGATGGTCACATGGGAAAGGTATAAGGGGGTGGGGAGAAATGTTACTATATTTTAACTAAGAATACACAAAAATCTTTAATAACAAGAAAGTTTATGTGTATGCTTATATGCGCAGCACCTTTGTACACGTGGTCTCAAAGAACAGATCCCGGGAGCTGTTTACTGTTTACAGGTGACTGGTTTGTGAGCCACCTGGCTGCTGGTCTTCTGGACGAGCACTAAGTAGTCTTAACATCTCTCCATTTTACTGTTGCCTATTGCTGGAAGCTTTTATATGGTTCCCATTTTAAAAACATCTATTTCCATGTGGTATGCTTACGTGCGTGCTTCATCTGATATTTTTTGTTGTTGTTCCAGTGTTGAAGACATGTTAGGCAAGTACTTTACAGACTAAGCTACCTGAGGTCTTTTCAAGTCAAGGACTCTGGCCCATGTCTTCAAAGTCCAACCCAGTTTCTCAAATCGGCACAACTGACCTGTGCTCTGACACTCAACAAAATGTAATGCTTGGGGCTATTTCCAATCTTCATGGAAATACTCTCAAGATAATTTGTAAAGGGAAAAATATGGTTTGACAGAGTATAGAATGAGCAAGACATCTGAGCTAAAATGTGCGCTGACGTGAAATTATGCCTATCACGTCTGCAGGTCACTGGTTCCCTGGGAGTCCCACCAAAAGGTCCCTGGATCCCAAGTTATGAATCTCAGCGAGTGGAGGTAGGCAAAAGGAAAGGCTATGTCCAAATTGCAGTATTCAAGTTCAAAATCGTTTGTCAGAGTTGTGTTACATCAACTAGTGTACATTTAGGAATCTTCGCGTTAGTCTCAGTAAAATCTAACTTTCATTCTTACTGTAATGACGAAGAAACCAATGCTAGAATTCGTCTAACCCAACTGGGTCTCTGTCTTGCAAAAGTTGCATTTGTCGATTATTAAATGCTTGGGCGGGGCTAAGCTATTAAAAAAACACTGCTCTAGCAGCTATCCAGGTCTGGTTCCCAGCACCCACCTGGCGACAACTGTCTGCAACTCCACTTCCACGTGACCCAGTGCCCTCCTACGGCCTCAATGGACCTCGGACACGCGCACGTGGAGCAGACACCTATACAGGCAGAACAGCCATACACATTTGTTAAAGTTTTTCTTTCTTCCTTAAATTTAGCACAATAAGGGGGCGAACACATCTGGGTTGAAAACACTGGTCTGGGTTTCTCCAACACCCTCCTGCTAAATCTGAGGCGCCAGACGCTGGCGTCGTCGGCTTCCACACCTGTGTGAAGTCTCTGAGGTGCACGACGGAAGCCAGGTGTCTGTCTTTCTGTCAGGAAGGGAGGCGGACTTCCTCCGGAAGCAGCGTGGGGACGCAATACCAGTCACAGCACAACGCCACCGTCCAGGGCTCCGACTGGAGGACTCACTCGAAGGCGCCCGCTGCAAACGAGGCCGCCGAGGGACGGACGTCGGGCAGCACTCAGCCTGCCCCAACCCCGGCGCTCGCCGAGCGTGCGCAGGCGCGGTCCGAGCCTCACGTGCGCGCCAACGGGCCGCGCAGCCGCAGCGGAGGCCTCGCGCGCCGAGGGCGGGGCGTGGACTAGGCGGAGCCAGCACCCCCGGGCGCGCTGACGCAATGGCCCGCGGCGGAAGGGTGCGGGCGCGCATGCGCCGCCGGTGCTCGGACCATTGGGGGGGGAGAAAAAGGGCCGGGCCGCGCATGCGCACTGAGAGGCCCGGCGGTGGCGGCGGTGGCGGCGGCGGCGGCGGCGGCGGCAGCTGTGAGGGGGTTCCCGGAAGATGGTGCTGATTAAGGAATTGTGAGTGGGTCGGTGGGCTGGACGGAGGCTCCGGGACGCGGGCTGGGGGACGGTCGGTTGGCTCGGTGTGGGGGTCCGCTCCCGGGACGCTGCGAGCCCCTGACCGGAGCCCCGAGGCCCTGGGCGGAGACGCCGCCCTCCGTAGTCCGCGCCCGGCTCGGCGGCTCGGCCGGAGCTCCCGTGGGAGCCGGGAGTGGACCTGACCCCTGGAACGTCCCCCTGCCGTCGATCGCTGGCCCCCGCACCTCCGAGATGAGGCGACGCTGGCCCCACCTGCTTCACCGGGGTCCGATGCGGCGTTAAACACATGGTGTGGCCGATGAAGACGTCCCCGGGTGCATCGGACCGGCCCCGGGATTTTGTTGAAAAGTTGTGGCTTCTCCCCTCCCACCCCCCGACACTCTTTAGAGCCGTGAACATGACAGGAAACTGTGGTGGCAGGGAACGTTCGGCTGTCACACCTGAATCAGGGTTCCTTGTGCAATTCGGGATTTCAAGTGTGACCCATTTTGTTGTTGCTCTTCTCCCGCACCCCTACTTTCATTTCAAATTCTTCCTTTTTCCCCCGCTAAGGGCCCTAATTTAGCTATGTAGACAGCTTGTCTGTATTGATGTCAATCGTGTTTAAAACAAAAAGTCACTAACACAGTGCCTTTACTTAACACTACCCAGATTCTATTTTCTGCTCGTACCTAAATTTTCTCTTGCCCTTCCCAGGATCACAAGGCACCCTTGCTGTTCCTTTGTTGCTCTGCATATAGTCTTCACTCAGGGCCGGTCAGTTTCCTTCGCTTTCTGCTCCCTTTCCCTCAAATCAGCAGCTCACCTTCTTGGAGTTTAATTGTTTTCTTTCTCTGTGTTCTCTCCGCATTGCACGGTATACTCACTGATACCTCCAGCTCTTAGAAACAGTCTTTAGTACTTGGAAGATATTCATGAAACACTTGGTAGTTTTTTAAGATTTATTTTTATGTGTGTGAGTGTTTGCCTGCATGTGTGTCTATGCACCGCATTTGTTCAGAGGTAAGAAGAGGTCGTTGAGAAGGGGGTATGAGCCACCGTGTCGGTGCTGGAAACTGAACTCAGATACTCCGAATGAGCAGCAAACCCTCTTAGCCAATGAGCCATCTCTCCAGTCCCTTAGCAAACATTTGTCAATGACTTGATGACAAATTACTTTTTGGGGAAAAAAATTGTGTGTTGTGTGTGTGTGTGTACAGGAAGGTGCCACAGCATGTTTTTGGAGATCAGGGGACAACTTGGAAGGAGTCAGCTCCCATTAGAGTCTTGCCACTGGAACTCAGGCTGTACTGGGAGGCAAGTGCCTTTTCTTGCTGAACCATCTCTGGCCGGAAAAATTACTACTTTTTGTTAGTGATGGGAACCTGAAGAAAAGCCATACTTTTGCATTCTGCATAGAGCAAAGATTTGCATTAAAGCATATTCATAGTATTGAACTTTGAGCTTGTATGAAAACTTTCTTCCAAGTAATTTAAACAGTGCATCTTACAAGCATCGCCTCATTTATTCTGGTGTTGGATATTAATGACAGAAGGATTTCAGACAGAAATTATCTTGCCCCAAGCCACATAGCAGGAGAGATGTAGCACTGATTGCAACGTGGGCTGTTTTCAATGTATTAGTTACTTGTTTTCAAAATGAGAAGTAACTGTTGGGTTAATTCTTTGACAGTTTGGTGAGTGGTCTGCAGGCAGAGTCCCAAGTGGGAAGTTATACGCTAATCATTTAGACGGTGCGTCTGTCTCTCTGTCTGAGTACAGATGCCCATAGAGGCCAGAGGCATTGGATCCAGGTAGAGCTGGAGTTAGAGGTGGTTGTTAGTCGCCTGATGTGGTCCTGTAATGAACTCAGGCCCTCTGCAAGAGCAGTCACTGAGCCATCTCTTCAGCCCCATCTTGCAAACCTTTAATTTGTAAACATTTAAAGCACTAGGTAGTCAGGGCTACGTATTAAGACCCTGTCTCAGACAAAATAAGACAGGAAACGGCTTTCTAGGAAGACCGGTCCCTTCAGTTACCAAGCAATGGATGAAGTTGCCAAAAAGTCTTGGTTTTAAAGCATTTGTCACTGGTTCTGTTTGGAAAAAAACTTCCTCCCATCAGTCTTTTCCTCTCTAGAGTGCTACGTCTTGGTTTAATAACAATAACTCTTGAAGAGCCCCTCAGAAGACCTCCTTACCTTATCCTCCATGTCCCCAGCCAACCACAGATGATCTCTGGAGATCAGACATAGCCATGTCTCTCTTGGGAAAATCATCCAGCATTTCCATTACTTCATTAATGAACTTAATACTCCATCCTATGTCACAGGCCCTGAAAAATGAATCCCATCCTCTCTCTCGTTCCCCTTTCTCTAGTTTGTGTCCTGTGTCTCAAGACAGCAAGTTAGTGAGCACTGCAGGGCGAGCCGTGGGTGCTTGTTTACGGAGGAGGGACTTAACAGCAAGTTTGTTTTCCACCAAGGGGCAGAAGTTTGGGGTTTTCCAGACTTTTGGGCATTTGTGGTTTTCAGATTACTGTTAACACAGGGAGACAGTGACCTGTAGTGGCTGGAGGAAATAAGAGGAAATCTGTCTTGTAGAAATAAGGGATCTCCTAGTCAAAACTCTGAAGGTAAAAAGTTGTTGTACACTTTGAGTCATCTTGTACTGCGTTGTGGTAAAACTGTAAAGAAAACCTTTGTGATGTCTAGTAGCACATACCTGGACAGGATCGAACTCAGATTCACCTTACACTTGGCCCTGCCTTGGGAGAGGGAATGGCATTTGTAAGGTGTGAGGCCATCTCCTCAACAGAAGTTTCTGCTTGTTCCAAAGCCACCTTCACTTAACTTTTGTCTCACTAAACTTGAACAATTAATTAGGTTGTGGGCAGACTTTTCTGGAAACATTCATTCATGGACTTGAAAGCATATCTGTATCAAAAATAAAATACGCACAGGGTTAGAGCACTGTGGCTAAGCACTGGCTGTCCTCTCAGAAGATGGTGGGTGGCTTGTGACTCCTGTGCCGGGTGACCCCATGCCCTCTTCTGGCTTTTGCAGGTGCTCTCTCGTACACATAAACATAACCCTTTAAAATGCACAGCACGTGTGTGGTGAATTGAATCTGTACTAAACATGCACGAGAGTGTCCTAACAGAGAATCTACAGACAATACCTCTACATCTGGGGTCCTGTGGCAGTGAGGCAGGAAGCCCTCCCAAGTTGAACAATGGCGGTCTTAGTCTTGGAGTTGAGACCCTTAGGGTCCTAGGCTTATAAACACCCTCTCCATAAATGACATTCTTGTCTCCTGTAGAGTTTCAATCCAGGCAGTGGTGGTGGCACACGCCTTTAATCCCAGCACTGAGGAGGCAGAGGCGGTTGGATCTCTGAGTTTGAGGCCAGCCTGGTCTACAGAGTGAGTTCCAGGACAGCCAGGGTCACATAGAGAAACCCCAGCTTGAAAAAAGCCAAAGGGAAAAAAAAATGTTGAAATTTTTAAATTGAATCTAGAGATCTGTGTTTTAAAGACATATTAATATGTAACATATTCTTTCCTTTTTCTTTTTAGTCGTGTGGTTTTGCCGTGTTCTGTTCAGGAGGTAAGGTTGTGGGTTTTGTTTTTGCTTTTTGGTTCTGAGCATCCTATTGTTATGATTTACTGATATGTTTACCTGTGCTGTTTTTGTAATATGCATTTGCTTTTGTCTCCCCTTTTGGTGCAGTCCTGGGATCTGGACCCAGGTCCTCAAGCAGTCTACCAATGAGCTATGTCCTCTGCCTTCATACAAAATGAATCAGGGGTTACGGATAGTTGTAAATAAACTTGTATTGTCCCATTTGGGAAAATCTGTAGGAAATAGTTTAGCGGGCGTAGAAATCCTTTTCAGCACTGTCCCAGAAAAATGAGGTTGCAGGCTCAGTTTAACCGCCTCCTCCTTGAGGGAGCCTGCTGCCGAGAGAAGAGGTGGCCTCCTTTACTACCGGACACGCGTCTTTCCACAGACCTCGCTTTTCTGACGGTAGCTCTGCCTGCCAACTTCACCATCCCCCAAGATGATCTTCTGTTCCACTGTAACAGGTCACAGAGTTAAACATTCCCAGCACATCCGTTTGTGCTAATATGCTGTGATCTCATGACCTTTCACAGCTGGCCTCATTGCAACATGCGCCATAGTCATGGCTCTGCACTGAAGTGGTATTCCAGAGGTGATCGTACCAGTCAGTCAACATAGAGATGATGGTCGTGATCCTAGGGTGGGAGACCTCCACCCTGCAGAACAGCTAGCTACCTGTCAGACAGAGCAGAGAGGCTCGCCCCCCCACCCAGGGCCTCCTCAGCTGACAGTAGATCCAAAGCAGAGAGCTGGAAGCTGGACTAAACAAACCGATAAGCTAAGAAGTGACAGGTGACAGGAGGCAGGAAAAAGCAGAGCTGAGGGAAAGTAGTGGGTCTCCTTCCATCTGCACTCGGCACAGCTGAGGTGACTGAGGGGACTGGGGTTTCACCACATTGCGCAGAGCACTGGGTGCATCGGGCCTTGCTCTGTTTGTCCAATTGATTAATTGAGCTCAGGGGTGGAAGGTTTTTGTAGGGTGTTTTTTTTTTTTTTTTTTTTTTTTTTTGAGGTGGGGTAGCCATTTGAAACAACTTGTTGAAATCTGGAGTCTTGACATTGTCACCCCAGATATTTTCAGCTTTTTGCTATACTCAGATTTAACAAGACAGCCCCTTCCCCACGCCCAACTCCCCCCTGCCTCTCAGAGTCTGAGCTATTCTGTTTTGGTTTTTCGAGACAGGGTTTCTCTTGTTTAGCCCTGCCTGTCCTGGAACTCACTCTGTAGACTAGGCTGGCCTCAAATGCAGGGATCTAACTGTCTATGTCTCCTGAGTTCTGGGATTAAAGGTGTGGGCCACCAGACCTGATCCTGAGTTGTTTTTCAGATAATACCAATGAGAAAACCTAGCAGCATGCCTGGAGTTATCAATTCATTAACTTTACTTCTTCATGCACTTTTGCTATACAAAATTTGTCCTGTTTTAAATCCTCTTTGAAATCTGACATGTTGAAAGTAGGCTTTGAAGGACATAAGGAGTGTGACATTAGCATTAGACTAACCCAAGCAATATGTCAGAAAATGGAGGAAACAGCCTCCCCTGCAGTCCAGATTCTTTTTGTTTGTTTTGGTTTTTCAAGACAGGGTTTCTCTGTGTGGCAGCCTTCGATGACCTGGACCTCTTTGTAAACCTGGCTGGCCTGAAACTCACAGAGATCAGACTGCCTCAGCCTTCCAAGTGCTGGGAATTAAAGGTGTGGCCTACCACGCCCAGCTCAGCACAGAATCTTAAGTAAATCCTTGGGAGCACCTAAGGAATTTCTTGAGTTCTGGCCTTTCAGGCCCTTTCAAATCAAACTGAGTAATTTAGGGTGGGGGCAGGGCTATTAAGTTGGCCAGCTCAACCCTGCACCCCCATGAGCACTTTGCCAGGGAGTATTTCTTGGGTGTTTGCTGATCCCTTTATTCTCAAAAGTGTAATCTCAGCTTTGAATTATGAGTTCTTAGAGGTAAAATTTGTGCCTTTTCTTTAAAGTGAATAAGAAAAATGCCACTTCAAGCTGTCTTAATCAAATTTGGAGAGATTGGCAGTAGCCCCATGGTTTGGTCCCTGGGACAAGTGAGGTCTCAAGAGCCTCACTGAGTTTTGCCCCTGATGGTGGCTGTCCGTGCAGTCTAATACCGCTAACTCAAGGGAACAACTGCCCTGCCTGCTTCTGAGAGCGCTGGCTGGCTGCGAACTAGGAATGACTGGGCACACCCGCCTTTCATGCTGATGCTTACATGCATATATACCCAGAACGTTTGTGCTTATGGGAGAATTTTGTTGAAAAGCTGTCATCTTGCATGCCCAGCACTGGCACTTGCTTTGTCAGTCACAGAAGAGGCCCCAGAGCTGTGTTCATTACTGAGAATGGAGCGTTAGGTGGTCGCTCAGCCTTAAGGTTACACTCCTAAGACGTGAGAGGAGTAAAAATGTTCTTTCCACAGGGTGCAGATTCATGGTTCTAAAGTCGAGCTAAGTGCTGGCATTTTCTTGATGCATGTTATTATATAAGTAAAATGTTAGTAACTATTTTGACTGTGAACAATGGAAATGATGCAGTCATCTGGCATTTGTTGCTTGAGTTCTGTTTTCATGTAGAACACGTACTGAGTGGTTTGCATAGACTTTTCTGTATTGACTTTATTAAAGTTTTATCATAGGAAAGTTCGGCAGCTTTTAATGACTTAGTAAAACTCTGCTCTTTGGAATTCCAGTATCAGGTTGGACAGCTTTACTCTGTTGCAGAAGCGAGTAAGAATGAAACTGGTGGTGGAGAAGGAATCGAAGTCTTGAAGAACGAACCTTATGAGAAGGATGGAGAGAAGGGACAGTACACCCACAAAATTTACCACCTGAAGAGGCAAGTGGGGTTTCCGCCTGTGATCTGCGGTTCTTACCTGGCCCCTTATGAGGAGGCCTGCTCAGCTGTAATGTGCGGGGACCACGTGTTGTGCTTCAGTCTATTGTGGGCCCCCTCGTGTTTATACTCAGTTATACAAGTGATAGGTCTGCGTGTAACAACAGTTCAAACGGTAGGGAGGACTGTAAAAGTACACGCTCATCCTCAACCTGAAGAGAGGTGGCTGGCAGTCAGGACCACTGGCTGCTCTTAGTTATCATGGAGGACCCTGGCCTGGTTCTCAGAACCCACATGGTGGCTCACAGCCATCCAACACTTCAGTTCCAGGAGATCCAGCACCATGGGTATCAGGTACACGTGTAGTTCACATACACACATGCAGGCAAACCATCCATATATGTAAGGTAAAAATACATAATTCATCTTCACTCCTTGCCATCAATGTCTGTAAAACCAGAAACACTTAAAAAACACTTATCCTGGTTCATCCATGTTTTGTCTGATATCTATAGGAGTCTTTTTTTGGTTTTTGTTTTTTTTTTTTTTAAATGTGTATGGGTGTGTAGGTTCTGGAGCAAGTGTGTGTGCCAGTGTTTAGTTCAGTATTACACTCAGGGATGATGACCCCATTGAGATAGTGTGTGTGTGTGTGTGTGTGTGTGTGTGTGTGTGTGTGTGAGAGAGAGAGAGAGAGAACCAGGAACTCACCAGTTCCAGTAGGACTGATTGTCACTGGGATTGTGGGTATAGGCCAGTGTGCCCCAGCATATTGACGTGCTTGGGGGGTTGGTGTCAGGTTCTTGTACCTGTAAGACCTGTAAATCCCCCAGCCCCTGTGTGAGTCTTCTTAAGGCCAAGTAAACTACCCTGGTGTGGGCCCAGCATAGTTTATTTACCCACATTTTAGGTAATTTGTAATTTAGTATGTTTTAGCATACTTTATTCTGGTTGTCTTGGATGCTATACCTTTCAGGACAAATAAGGGTCTGCTGGAAAGCCATGACAGTTTAAATTGTCCTCCAAAGTTCGTATACTAATCTTGAATATTTTTCTGCTTGGAATTTTTGCTAGTTTCCTTCTGTGATTCTTCATGAGTGTGTTTGGATGTGTGGTGTGTGTGGGGGGGGTGTCTGTGTGATGGTGGTTTTGCCTTTGATTTATTAAGTTCTTTTGTGCGTGGAGTCTTATCCTTACCTTTTCCTTTAGGTACTTTACAATAGGAAATGCATACCCGAGAGTAGAGGTGGCTGTGGGTCCTTTTGCAGACCACCTCCCTGTCCTCTCGCCTCGGTTTTCTTCTCTGTACATTCAAGTAAATCTTACTTGAATTTGTAGATGAGCTTAGGTGATTAAGTTTAAATTTTTAACATCATTTTCCTTTATAGTTATATTTTCGTGCATGCGTGCATGCATGCTTGACAAGAGTGGAGTTGCCTTGTGGAGGAGACCAGAGGAGGGTTGCAGGGTATAGTGATCCACTAGACATATGTGCTGGAAACTGCACTCTGGCAAGTGCTCTCTCTCAACCACTGAGCCATTTCTGCAGCCTCTCTTTCACTATAATTTTTGATTCATCTATTAATTCAGTTCTATGAAGAACTAGAACTTCCTTATTGAAAGCACTGGACTCTTTCTGTGAGTGCTAAAATAAGCCAAAGGGTTTAATGTGTAAAAATTTATATTGATCTGTGATATCATTATATAGATTACTATTCCAAAAGTGATAACATGAGCTTGTTCCATTGCTATGACAAAATCCCTTATCAAAAACAACTAGACAAGGAAAGGGTTCATTTGGCTTACAAGGCTCAGTACATCATTGAGGCGAGCCAAGGCAGGAACTAGAACAGAGACCATGGAGGAGTACCAGCCTGCCCCTGTGGCTTGCTCAGACTTCATTCTTTAGCACCCAGACCACCTACCCACCCAGGGGTGGCATGTACCCACAGTGGGCTGGAGGCCCTCCCTCATCAATCGTTAATCAAGAAGACGACGCCCTACACCCTTACAGGCTTGCCTGCAGGCAATCTGGTGGAAGGAAGCCTTTTCTCAGAAAAGCTCTTCCCAGTTGACTAGCTTGTGTCAAGTTGACAGAAAACCAATCAGGACACATCTTGAAATAAAGGTGTACTGTCTTTTGTTTGAAACCTAAAGGTTTGGATATTAGAAAAGTGGTACCTTATTATGTAGAAAAGGTCTATTACTGGACCATTAGGTATTCATACAGTGTTCCATGTTTTTAAAACCTAATCAGATAAAAAGCCTAGAAAGTCATTAAAGTGTTAGGAATGTTTATCACTTCCTGCTGAGATATGGGTGATTTCATTTTTATGGGAGAGAAGACTATTAAATACCATTTTTGAAACATCTGATTTAGGTAACTCTCCAGCCATAAATAATGGCTCTTAGTTGAAGAGAGCTATAAATATGGTCACTGTGAGTGATGTTATCGCTCCAGAGCTTGTTTGGGCATGATAGAACTTCAGGCTTGGTAGTACAGGGTCTCCGGAGGCTGCCTTCCCCTATTCTTGGTCTCCTGGATCAGCATTTTCATTACTGAAGGAACCAGAGTCATTCCACAGCACCTTTTCTGTGTACCAGTTATGAGTTTTGTACCAGGAGACACAGGAATACACACTTGCCCCAGGACCGCCAAAATATAAAACATACCCAGAAAGGAAGAAAGAGCAGTAACCCCTTATGTAGCTAAACTTAGTTGTTTTTCAGCATTATCTTGATACACGATTATTTGGGGAATTGAAACGAACTGTTTAGTGCTACTTAGCTCATCAGATTTAGAATGTGATAGCATTTTTTGATAGAAACAAAAATGATTGTGCAGCTGAAAACATATACAATATCTTTCTCCTCACAGCAAAGTTCCTGCATTTGTAAGGATGATTGCTCCTGAGGGCTCCTTGGTGTTTCACGAGAAAGCCTGGAATGCTTACCCCTACTGTAGAACAAGTAAGCTGGTCCCCACAGCACTGCACCCTGCTGCCCTTATGAGCACCCCAGTCTCGAGGGTTAGACCAAGCAAAGCCACCTCTGGGGTCACAGGCAGTCACTGCTTCAGTGCTTGGGTGATAGCCAGGGAGCCACTGGTTTCACCTCCTCAGACCTGTGTTGTACCCCTCAGTTCATTCCCAGACGACAGCCATACGTAAGTCCTGCTGACTGCTGCCTTTGGGGTGGACAAGTAAACACGGAAACCGTAGAGGTTGTGTGCACCCAGAGATGCCTTTTGATGCTCCAGCGGCACTCTCGAGGGATTGGCTTTCCAAACCAGCTTCATGAATGATGCTACACTTTTGTGATAGTCTTATTAGCATTATTTTAAATTAAGATAGATTATTCTTCATATTGCCTTTGAACTCCGTAGTCTTAATTGAGCGTCTGTTGGTGTCACTTACGTAGAGACCATTTTGAAGCCGTAAGCTAAGTGTTATGTGTTTGGGATAGCTTAGTTAGTCCGCCCGACATAAATATGGGGACAGGCTGTTTTGACTCCCATCTAATTGAAGCTTTTCCTGTTTTTGCTGCCCTCGTCGCCTCTCTGCCTCAGTTGTAACGGTGAGTAGCACATGCTGTTCTTCAGTCTTCATTTTTTTGTACCCTGATGATTCCCAGCTGCTACTGGCTATTTGCTTGAGCTCCCATTGCATCGTGGCCCGTCCTGTGTCCTCCCCCTGCCTCACATGCCCCAGGCTTGCTTCACGCTCCTCAATGGTTCTCTGCTTTTGCTGCTTTGAATGTCCGAATTGCTCAGCAGGCCTCCTGGCCTTCTCTCTGCCCCCGTGTTGCATGACAAGTGGGAGTGCTTGCATTATGTAAAAGCATCATTTGCTGGACCCAACAAGCCTCTCAAAATGGGGAGCTGGAGATTCAGCTTGGCCGTTAAGAGATTGGGTTGCTCTTCCTGAGGACCCAGGTTCAGTTCCTCGCACCCAGGGGATCTGATGCCCTTCTTGTGACCTCTGCAGGTACCAGACGCACATGTGGCCCACATACATAGATGTAGGCAAAACACTCATACACATAAAAATAAATAAATCTAGAATAAATGGGGAGTCCATGGCTCTGGCTTTGGAAAGAGATCCAAAGCATCCACTGGGGTGCTGTGTGGGGAAGGACTCCCGCGGAACTGGGAAGGGTGCATCACTTTTTTGTTGTATTCTCTGCAGAATGAATATATGAAAGATGACTTCTTCATCAAAATCGAAACATGGCACAAACCTGACTTAGGAACATTAGAGAATGTAAGTTTCCACTCTACACTAACAGTGTCGGGGCATGGCTGCTTCCCCGAGTGCTTGGTCCTCATGCTCAGGGCCCTGGGTTTGGTTACCAGCACAGTCAGGGCGGTACCGGCTCTGCAATTACTTGAGTGAGGAAGGCTGTGGGAATGGGAATTACTGGAAACACGCTGTGTCATTGGGGTGGGTGAGCAAGCCAGACACAAAGGGGCTTCTTCTATCAGTCCCTGCCTTGATGCAGAGTGGACTCTCCCAAGATTGCTATTCTGACTGGCAACTCCCTCACTTGGAGCAAGGAGAACATGCTTGACAGTGCTCACAGATGATGCCATGGCTGGTTCTCACCTGGTGGTTTTGGATGTTTTCCCTCTGCTCACCAGAGCAGTTCTTAGCAGAATTGATTACTCTGCTGGTTACGCCCACTTCGCTTTTCTGGGCCACGGGCTGATGTCAGAGACATGGCGTGGCCAGAGGGCAGGAGAGAGGAGGTGCTTGGTTTGCAAAGATGTTGACAAGCTCCTGACAGACTTTATAAGTACTGTAAGGAACATTCATACCTGAGCTTCAAGGACACCTGGCGGGATGCTGGAAGGTAGCCGCCAAGGCTTGCTCAGGAGCTGGGCAAGGCATCTGGCAGGCCCTGATGACCTTGGCCCCGTGGGTCTCAGAAAGTGTCTGTAGCTCTGGAGCATTGGCATCCAGAAGTCATTAGAAATGTGAGTGCTCAGGCCATTAGCGCCTGCCTGCCTTCCAGCGCCCACACATGGAGGAGCGTGAGTTAGTGGGAGAGCCGAGTAGTAGTCCTAACTGCTGTGGCCATGCGGTTCCATTTTTGGTGCTCTTCATAGAACTTATATTTTAATTTGTGTACTTGTCCATTGATCGTGTGACAACCTATTTTTGATTGAATTTCCCTAATATGTAGCGATTGTTTCATACTCTGTGACTTACCCTGCCTTTGCCAGCTTTCACCTGGGCTTAACTGTCGTTTTAAAACAGTTCACAAGGTTTGAGAAATGATTGAATAAGAATTGTCAATAAGTGCACAAACTAAAAACAAGCTGTGGGATAGTTAGATTATTCTCTTTTTTAAAAATGATTTGTTTTTGTTTGTTTGGTTGGTCCTTTGGTGGGGGTGGGTACACATGGGTGCATGTGCCAGAGGAGGTCACAAGATCCCAAGTCCCTTGCTGCTGGAGTTTGCAGGCAGTTGTGATCCAACCAAATGGGTGCTGGGAACCGAACTCCGACCCTATACAAGAGCAGTTTGTGCTTCTAACCACCAAGCTATCTCTCTAGCCCAGGGGTTCTCAGCCTCTGGGTTGAGACCTGCCCTCAAGGTTGAAAGACCCTTTCACAGGGTTTTGATAAGACTGTTAGAGAGCATAGAATCTTAACATTACGATTCGTAACAGTAGCAAAATTACAGCTATGAAGTAGCAGCCAAAATGATTTTATGGTTGGGGTCACCACAACACGAGGAACTGTATTAAAGGGTTGAAGCATTGAAAACCACTGCTCTGGCCCCGAGAGCAGCTTGTTGAAGTGCATTTGTCATGTTTACCTTTGCCAGCATAGAATTTAAGAGTTCCGAGCACTATGCTTATAACTCTTGGATTAAACAGGCAAGATACATTCTGTTACACAAATCACTTGTTAGTGTACTATAAAATAGCCCTGGCAGATTTCTCATGGGGAAGTGATACATAGAGTAAAAGCTGTCCAGATCTCAAGATTACCAGCTGCTGCCTACTGAAATAGTAACTTCATCCCTGTACTGTATCCTGAGGTACTCACACTAAGATGACATGTAGAAATGTAGCACTTTTACTGAAAAAAGAACACACTAAAGGTTTCTGTTTCTCACAGGTTCATGGCTTAGATCCAAACACGTGGAAAACTGTTGAAATTGTACACATAGACATTGCAGACAGAAGTCAAGTCGAACCAGCAGTGAGTACTACCTGATGGCATCTTGATGCGTTCCCTTCACATCTCACTGAGTTATTTTCTGTCTTTTGCATATTCTGCATTTCTATACTGAAATGATCCTGGTGCCCAGGTCTGGTCTGAGCACCAGGGACCCTGGAAGAAGAAAGAGGTCATTTTCTTTGCTATAGGCAGGCCCCTTTAAGAAAGGGAAGTGCGCTTCCCATATGTCGGGGAGTGTTTATTCAAGAAACATTTCCAAAAGTACTGTTTTCTGCTTTAGAGTCACACAGGTCTCCTGTACCTTTATACTAAGAAAGCAAAGGTTTTCTTTATGTAAGTTTTCATTAGCTCAGTTAAGGCTAGTCTTGCTAGAAACATTTGATGTATGACCTTTTAACCAGCTAGCATGCTATTTTGATTTTGTTTTTTAAAAACTTCTTAAGTTTTGTATGTGTGTTTAATGCAATTGCACGGCACACATGGAGGTCACAGGACAACTTTCCTGAGATGGCTGTCTCCTCACACCTTCACATGTGTTGTCAGTGGGGTCAAACGCAGGTCATCAGGCTTGAGTGGCAAGGACCTTTACCCACTGAGCCACCGTGCTAGCTCCATTTTGGTTCTTACTAAATGTAAGTACCTGCACCTGCCTCTTCTGACTTAATCTCCCCTGCCGTGCCAGGTGAAGACTTCATTCGTTCTGGTTTCCTGAGGGGTAAATACTAACTCAGGCAATAGTATGCAAGTACTGTATTGATCGGCAGGTGCAACTGTGCACATTTTATAGATCATCGTCTTCTTCTCTGCTGGTACTTCCCTGGTATGGTTTGTTCATGGACAGGGCATAGTGTTCCCTACCATTTCTGTCTCTGAATTTGAGCACTGTTTATTGTGAGCTCAACAGAACAGAAATAACTCAGACACAAACTGTCCGATTCTCTGGTAAATCTTCTATCACAAAGGTCTCTGCCCTTTAACAGAAACACCTGGGGTTGAAGATGATAAGGACTAGACTGGACACCACTCTTTTAGGGCCCCTCCTTGCTTAGAAACGTCATTGTTGGACTGGGGAGATGGTTTAGTGAGTATGGTCCTAGTGACAGAGTGATACTTGATATTGACCTCTGACCTCTGCACATGCACACACACACCATCACACACCAATAGAAAAAAATAGATTGGGAAACCAAGTAGTGGGGGTGATCCTGGGTTTTGTTTGAAATTATGTAAAGGAAACTTTAAATCTGTTTAAGTGGGGAGTCATCATTCTATGGGTGTCTGCTCTTTTTGTTGGGGCGTCTTCTGGCTGTTAACTTGCTAGAAGTATCTAGGACGAAAGAGGCAGTCAGTCAGCAGGTTGGCTGGGTACCTAGTGTATCTGGTCACAGACAAGATGGAAGAGCAGCACGGCAGGCCAGGATTGGTGCTCTGGGAACCGCATTAATACACTGGCGACTGAGTGATGTTGGGCAGCAGAGTAGAATGGCGACACCAGCCAAACCTGGGCCTTATGGCTCCGTAGAGTATAGGACACTCCCGGCTCTGCTGGCAGCTGGGGCTTTTTGTTCTTGTCCTGAGAGTGTGGCCACGGCAGCAGCCTTCTGTGCTACCGAGCAGCTGAGAAGACCCTGTATTTGCAAAGGCTACGCAGGTGGTTCTGTGGGGATGGTGTTTGGGCGGATGGTAATGGAAAGAACGGATTGGACCTGGGCATTGTGATTTGGTAGGGATGGTTGTGGCCAAGAGCACATACTCTGAAAACAGGTTTTAGATTCAGATTCTGAGGCTCTGCCATCTGCTGCCTTTCTGATCTTGGACAAACTCTCAAGACCTCTGTGTGCACAGCTATTTAATCTTGTGCAAAACAAAGCTGACATGTCACACAGCACTAAATAGGGGACCCAGCAGCAGCTAGGTTAGCATGTGCAGGCCTCGCTGTCGTCGCTGCTGTCATAAACAGCTGCACTGTGCAGGTGTCTGCCCCTGTCACAGGACACTGTATGTGAGTGCTCACCTGGAATGTTTTGTTTTACTGTGTGTCTGTGTGCATGTGCAAAGATTTATTTTTCATTTATGTATATGTGTATGCGTGTATTCACACATGTGCATGTGGGTGCCTTGGAAGGCCAGAAGAGGCTCTTGGGTCCTCTGGATCTGGAGTTACAGTGTGTGAGCTGCCTGGTGTGGGAGATTCTGGTCTTCTGCAAGAGAAGCGAGCACTTTTTAACTGCCCTGCCCAATTTTCTGTGGTTTTGCTTTCTAGGGTTCATAACTCCTCTTTGCAAACCTACCCTTTAGATATGAGTAAATGCAAACTTGAAGTATATTGATTTTGTAGTACTATTTTTTGTTGTTGTTGTTGTGATAAAATGCACACAGCATAAAAGTTAACCTTTGAATCAATCCTCTAAAACTGTACAATGCAGTGTCATATTGTGTGTGTATTCATAGTTGTACAGCCATCACTGTCTAGTTCTGGGATACTTTTGTTACCCCAGTCACCAGTCTCTCTAGCCCCCACTCCTTAACCCCAGCTTTTTGTGACCACTGGGGTTTGCCTGGTGGGTGTTTCCTGCAGCACATGGCCTGCTGGGACTGGGTGCTGCTTAGGCTGCTTAGGTACTGTGCGTGGTTTCAAGTTTTATTTGTAATGTAGCATATGCCGGTGCTCACCTCTTTACGCTTGATAGTACCACACTGGGTGACACCACATTCTGCTCAAGCTTGCATCAGGGTTGGCTATTGTGGCTGCTCTGATGGCATCACAGTGGGCATTAGGGTCTGAACACTTCCTGGTTGTGCTGCAAGCTCATCTTTTCACCTCACAGCAAGCTCACAACAAAACAGACTTTAAAGTGATTGAGTTTATTTTCTTCCCGCTGTTCACTTCATAAGAAATGAAACAAATGCCCCGGCAGTTTTGAGAAAATAGGTAGCCAAGGCCTGTCAGACTCAGGACAAATGGGAAGTAGTTGAGAGTGGGGAAACAAGAACTTGAAAGGAAGCTTGAGTCTTTTCACTCCATCTGGTGGGATTCTCTTGTCACTGCAGGAGGGTTTGGTCCAAACATTTCTGCCCAGAGTGACCTCTGCTTGCTTTAGGGCTCCCCCTCTGCTGGGCTCTTAAGTGGCTCGAGGCTCACTCTCGTTGACTTGCTGTATTTGCTCATTCTTTGGAGCTGTATTTTACCGTGTTTTTGGAGGGACTATGATTTGACCCATGGTGCATCTGCATTCTTGGCTGAATGCTTTGACATGTTTGTGTAATTGAAGTGACGTTGTCAGAATGACTCTAGAAGCAAAGATTTGTTGTAAGAATCTGTCAATGTGACTTAGGTTCAGAGCATAGTTGCTATAGGAACCACGTGCATGTAAATATGTGGGTTATTAAGGGTGTTTTGTTGATGCCTTTTGGAACAGTTTTAAGACTTGGTTTAGGTCAGTTATTTTTAAAGAAACCACTAGGTTGTCTGATATTTCTATATAAATATCTCACTCAGTCTCTTTTGCACATTAGATTGTATTCACCTTGCAAGACTGACTTCCTGTTTGAGAGAAAAAGGCATTGAAGTGGAGTGCCAGCGAGGGCTTGTGACCTCCAAGGAGAGAGAGTCCTCCTCTCTGGAGTTGAGCAGTCACAGAGCACATGCATGCTGTGCCAGCAGAGTACCTCTGTCCCCTCACACTTCCTATCCAAGCCCCTGTGTTCCTGCTCACATGCCCTGCCTTCTGTTTTCTCAGTGTGTCGCACCCTTGGGCCAGGGCAGCGCTGCATTTCATCAACCTAGAAAGAGGCATACTTCTTGATGTGGGGTGGGGTGAACTCTCCAGGGGAGCCTTGCTGGGTTTTTTGGTTGTTTTCTGTAGTAGTCGTTTACTGGCTCTGTTGTTGCTGATGGTGTTTCTGTCCGGAGGCTGGGGGATCAGGGCTGCTTGAACCCAGGAGTTTGAGGCCAGCATGGGCAGCACAGGGAGACCCTCCATCTCAGAACAAGATAAAAAGAAGAAAGAAGATACTCTGAGAGGCTGGGTTTTATTGTTCAGGCAGTAATGGACACAAGGCTGCTGTAACCGTTTCTGATCCTGCACCGTAGGAACACTGTGCTGCTGCCCGTACTGCGAGGATTCTGAGCTGCTGTTTGTGATCTGTTTCTGTTCAGGGCAGAAAGTCTTATTAGATTGTAAAGAGTCAGCATGTGCAGCATAAAACATCCAAATGTAAGTTTAAAGATTTGCCCCTTCTCAGGCTGTTGATACATAACCACAGCAGAATGTTTGGGCTTCTTTAGCTGCCCTGATGAGATGCCCATGCATAGCTCAGCTCATTTCCAGGATGTACACAAACGCAGCCCTTGACATCTGCTTCTGCTTTGTTTCCTAAGGTATAGCATTTGAAAGTGGCCCCTTTAATCATGCCCAGCACTCTGTCTAAGTAGCTTTCCATGATTTGTATACAAAAGTCACTTCCCAGGAGAGGAAGGCTCATGAGCTTGAAGTGTGCACACCACTAACAGCAGAGACCTTCAGTTTGGAAGTAATTTGAAAGAAACGAGCAGTTTTGAAAAGAGAAATTGGAACCACATTTAAAGGTATTTATTTATGTGTAATGAGAAAGAGTTTGTCAGCCTTTTCTGTGTGTGTGACTTTATAACTTCCAGGGTGGGTTTCTTTCTTCTGTAGTAGTGGAAGTGAAAAGAAAGGGGGAAAAGGGTAATTTAAAATTTTGAAATCTAAAGTAATTCATATTAATATGCTTTAAAGAAGTTAGTGATAAGCCTGTCTTGTGGGCTGACATTTTCTTCGGGGTTAGCTCACCCACAGTTCCAGGTTAACCAGTGGTGGACAGCACCCTGATGGTCATGTTAAGCCATCAGTCTACATAGCTGTGATTTGGCTGTGTGAGTGTTGGGGTGGGGGGCAGCTTGTGGCTGATCACTGATGTGTGTGTGTTTGTGTGTGTGTGTGTGTGTGTGTGTGAGAGAGAGAGAGAGAGAGAGAGAGAGAGAGAGAGAGAGAGAGAGG